GCTCACAGTGCCACCTCATCCTTTTACCTGGGGCCACACCTGGTTTTTGTGTCTACTACTTCCCAGATCTTATCCACTGGCATCTGTCATGGAAAGAATCTGGGCTCTCCTGTCAGACTAATGTGAGGTTCCATCCCTCTTTCACTGTTCACTTGTCATTTTGCCTTAGGCAAGACACAGTTTAGAAAGGCAAATTGGTAAAATAAGGATACTTATCTTACTGGGGCTTTTTGAGAGTTAACAGTAGCATTTGTGTAAACATCTAGCATATTGCCTGGCACTTAGATTCCCTCTCCCCTACTGTCTTTCTTTACAGCATTGTTTCTGGGTTCCTTGATTCCTTTTTCTGAAGATATTTCTATTCCCCTGTGAGAAGGAATTAATCGTTTAATTAATTAATTATTATTTAATTCCTTAATTAATAATTAAGGAACTAATAGTTTAAAACTCTTTAGAATGGGCCTGGCCCACAGTAAGCACTGTGACTATGTGTTGAGTAAGATAATCAGGTTATGGTTGTTGGTACGAGGCTTTCATTCTCTGCCAGGAAGGACAAGAGGGAAGAGCTTAGACAGTAACGTGTATATTTAGATCTTTTCTCTTTGGAATGTTTTCTTTTTTCTTTTTCTGGGGAACCAGGTACCTGAGGTATCAGTGATTTTTCTGTAATTTCCATCCCTCGGCTGTCTCAGGATTGTGAGACTTAGATGAGAGGGCAAAGAATAGCTGTTCTAAGCTGTTGGAATTTTTGTACTTGAAAGCAAAAGTTTGCTTATTTCCTTTGAATTATTTCCCTGTCTGATCTTTCTTCCACACCCATTTTTCTTTCAGTGAGGTCTGCCAATCCTTAGTGAAACACAGCTCTGGAATACAAGGAAACTTACCACTACAAAAACTGCATCTGGTTTCACGAAGTATTTATCATTCGCATCATCCTACCTTAAAGCTTCAAAGACCCCAATTCAGGACATCATTTCAGCAGTTCTCCTCTCTAACTAACCTTACTTTACGTAAATTGAAACTTTCTCCAATTAAATATGGCTACCAGCCCCACAGGAATTTTTGGCCAGCGAGAGTAGCTGCAAGACTCTTAAAACTTCGATATCTCATACTAGGATCTGCCGTTGGGGGTGGTTATACGGCCAAAAAGGTGAGTTTAATTTCCTATTGCTTTTCCAATTATTCCAGCATGATTATTTTATAGTGCAGTAGAATACAATTAGATGTTTTCTGAGTGTCTATTGTGTGCTGAATTGTTTTACTGGTGCTAATAGGAAAATGCTCTCTGACTGTTACTTACTATAGGAGATGCAAATGGCCTAGCGGAAGGAGCTCTGAGCTGGGAGTAAGCACACCTAGGTTTGAGTTTCGGCTTTGCCATTTAGTAGCACAGGCAGGGAAGTAAGTGGCATGTTCATGCAACCACTTCTTGGCAGCTCTGAGACCAGAGGCAAGATGTCCTGACCCCTGGTTTGTCTTGCTTCTATTCCTCAGTGTTTAAAGCCAAATCATGAAACCTGTTTGAAACAGAAATATATTTTGAATTTTTACACTGTCTATATTTAGTAAAGCAACATTTACATGTTTTATGTGGTTGTCTGTTAATTTATTTTTAGAAGAGCTGAGGCCACTTTGTTCTAAAAATTTTGAACATAATACATCACTCTTAATAGATTAATGTGTTTTAACTAAATAAATTTAAGTACTTTTTCTTTGTATTTTATGTGGTATTCAGAGCATTTGATTAACATACTTTTTTATCTTTTAGACTTTTGATCAGTGGAAAGATATGTTACCTGACCTTAATGACTATAAATGGATCGTGCCTGACATTGTGTGGGAGATTGATGAATATATAGATTTAGGTTTGTATCAACATTAAAATACTTTTCTTCATCTTATCTTTAGAAAAGAGATAGTTTCTTAACTCATAAGTTCAAGGTGTAGCAGTTTTATTTTAATGGTAAAATTAATAGAGAAAAAATTGGTAAGAAAAAAATTATCCCTTAGTTCATCACTTTAACACAGCTGCCATTATCCTTAAGAAACAGTTTCTTTTCATTGTACCTATTTTGTGTATGTGGTTATTATTTTAGTTTCCTTTTTAAAAATTATATAGTCATAGTGAACACACACTTTGCTCTCTTTTCTTTTGCTACCTTCCACATTTGTCAGAGTTTTCATACTGCCAAGCCACCTTCTTGAACATCATTTTCAGTGTTGTATGTTACTCAGAACAGATGTACTGTGCCCTACCTAATTAACCCTCTTTGACTGGATATCTTAGTTATCTATACTTTTTGTAACCAGATTCCTTACAAGCCTGCTGGTGTCCAGAGTAACTTCTCCTGTTAGTCAGCCATTGTTCCCCTTTTCTAATAATAGAAGAGAAAAAAGTATATTTGATAGTTGTGATTGCCAGTAAGTCATGGTGATCTTTTAAAAAAAAATTTTTTTTTCCTGATGAAATGATTTTCGTCAAGTCTCTTATTTAGGCTTTGTGTTGACTTTTTTAGATTTTAGCTTAGGTGTATATGGGGGTGGATTTAATCTCAGCATGCACTATTCACAGCACTTTCTTAAAGATAAAACTGCTGCCTTGACAAAGATATTTGCAGGAAAAGCACTCTTTGAAATTATTTTTCTAACATTTATGAGGAGAGCTTTTTAACTTGATACATTCGCCAGTACCACAGAATAGTGGCTGAGAGCCTGGATTCTGAAGCTGGCCTGCCTAGGCTTAAACCTGACCCTGCACTTTGTTCTGTGCTCCGATCCTATTACTCACCCCCTGTGCCCCATTCCTCATCTGTTAAGTGGGCTCGATGATAACTGTTTTGTAGGATTGCCTTGAAGATTAAACAAGTTAATGCTTTTACAGCACTTAGAATAAAATCTGATACATATTCTTATTTTGAGAAACTTTGTGTGTTTTGTATTTTCCAGAGAAAATTAGAAAAGCCCTTCCTAGTTTAGAAGACACATAAAGTTGTACCAAACTTTGACAAAATTGTTGAGTATTTATAAATGAAAGTACTTAGTCACTTTATAGATAAAGCTAGCAAAAGTAAGGGCTTGTCTTGGGCTTGTAGACAGCTTTTTATTTTTTGAAATGGTAACAAGTGTGAATCTTCTTAGGGAATATGAAAGGAGAGAAGAAAGTAACGGAATTCTGTTCTTGGACTTGAACTGGGATTTTATCACTTTTTTTTTGTATTCAGGCAAGGTGCTACAAGTGATTTTTTTTTCTTTGCTTCTTTGCTATGACTTCCAAAAGGTACTTCTATACACCAATCCAGTGTTAACATTAATACAGTGCTTCTGTCCCAAGGCATTTAACTTATAAATCAAAGATACTCCTCTAAGCCATATGTTTGGTGAATATTTTTTAAAAATTTTCATGGCCTGCAGAATATCACTAGAATAACACATTGTTTCAGATATATGTAGCAGTTGTAATTGTAATGGAGAAAAATGGAAAAAATATTTTTATTTAAATTTATATGTGGTTATTTAAATTGTGTGTTTTAATAATCAAATTCTTAATTTTGAGAGTATGTATTTTTTTCTTTTCTCCAGAGAAGATTAGAAAAGCCCTTCCTAATTCAGAAGACCTTGCAAAATTGGCACCTGACTTTGACAAGATTGCAGAAAGCCTCAGCTTACTGAAGGACTTTTTCACCACAGGTAAGGAAGGACTTGTGTTTGATCTCGTTTAAAATGTCGGAAAACACAGAGGAAAAATACTTAAGATGTATTCATTTGTTTATTCCCATGTTTTAAATGAAAACATTTAGTACAAATAAAGACTAGGTTTTTGGAAAAAGAAGATACACACAAAATTTTGTTGCTCACTTATTTTAATTTTTGTTTGGCCCAACAAAATGAAAATTTGCAAGAACTTATACATGCTTGGCTTTAGTCAGTGAAAAAAAAATAGCATTTGTTCTTGACAAGTAGGTGAGACTTCCTGTGTGTTTACTTTTTCTAATTGGTCAGAGCCAATTTGGTGATTTTAAAACAAATTTAATTATAGTAGACCATAATGAGCAGAATTTACTAAGGTTAATCCTGGTGTATTTGCCCAATTCTGTCCTATCATGATATAAATCTGAGGTCTCAGACATCTTTGTTTGCTCATTCCTGTTAAATTTTACATTTCTATTTCCCCCTTTGCTGATTTTTCACAGGTCACAAATTGGTTAGTGAAGTCATAGAAGCTTCTGACCTACTTCTCTTGTTAGGTGTGTAAACAGATATTTTTGCTGACCTTAACATGCCTTTTAAATGCTTCTAATAAACTAGTTGCAAATAAAATTGCAGACCAGATTTATAATGCTGCTTATGCTGAATTTTAAAATGCCAGAATTATATTGGGCAAATTCATTATCCTTTAGGTGGAAATAATAAAGTAATTATTTTTTGGTAAAACTAAAATTCCTAGATATGTATCTATATTATAAGAGTAAAGCTATTACAAAGAAAGTTTGCTTAACCAAAATATTTTCTTGAAACTGATCTGATTGTTTCTGACAATTGAAACGAAAAGTCATTTTAGTTTGTCTCATCTGTCCTGTCACAGTTGACATTTTAAATTTAACTTTTTTACTGTATGTGGTCTGTAAATGGCAGTTGTGTATGGCCAAACTGTAAGTACTCTCATGTAAAATAATCCTTATCAAAGATTGTCTTATTTTTATTGTAATTTTCAGTGATATTTTAAACAATCAGTTAAACACATCCTATAATATTTTTGAACTTTTTTCCTTAGGTTTCCTTTATTCCTTAAAATAAGAATAGTTTCCCAAAAAGTGATGTTTCCTCTAGAAATACATTTACTTTTCAACTGACTAAACATAACTTGGAATTTAGTTTAGCCTATCAACATCACTGGAGAATTAAAGGATCGCATATTTATCTTTAAGGTTCACCTGGAGAAACGGCATTTAGAGCAACAGATCCTGGATCTGAAAGTGACAAGCGTTATAAAAAGGCAAGTGTAAGGGAGCATTCTTCACGTAGATAGTCTGGAAAGATTTTAAAAAGTTTTTACCTATCTGGAAGATTTGAAAATGGTAACATCTGAAGAACAAATATAAAAGCATCCTACAGAGGTATTGTTATTAATCTTGGTATAAAATGCAGGGTATTATGTAACAGTTCTGGAAATATAATGGGAGGAGCCCATTTCCCTCAAACGTGTCTGTGAAGCATTAGTTTCAGGGATTGTCCCCAACAAAGGGTTTTGTTGTTAAATATGTGTGGGGGAAAGCTGGTATAAATAAAACAAGTCAGGCTTCTTTTTTTTTTCCCTGGAATTTCTCAGACCTTTATATACCCATGTGCATTGTGAATCTCTAAGAAGAGTCAGAGTATGCAGGGTTTTCCAGATTTATTTAACAACAGAACCCCTTTTCCGTGAGATATCATCTAGGAACTAATATTTCATGACATACATTCAGGGGAAATATTAAGGAAATAGCAAGTTCATTACAGTGATGGGGATAATAGTAAATAGATTTCTGTTACATTGATAGTCAGCAGAATTATGTATGGGGTTATTTAGGATATGTTAATTTCAATACATGTATTAAAATCCTTATGAAAGTTTTAGGAGAATTACTGACATTTTCTTTTGGTAAGATAACTGCTTCCTTGGAATTTTTTAAAAAAATTAATAGATAGATAGATATCTGGAAAAAATATTCTATGAACATTTTAAAATTAAATACTGAGAGTTGTTACGATTTTAATACATTGAAGTAAATAGTTTATTTGGGAAGCAGGAGGAAAATAATTCCTATGTGTAGGTTTCCATCTTATTTCCTGTCCTTCAACTTTGAACTTTTTACAAGATGTTCCAGGTTTGAATTATATTTTCAAAAGTTTTTTTTTTTTTGTCTTTTAACTTAATCTTTTGGAGAAAACATTTCAAGATGTGTGTATATGTGTGCATGTGTATTTTAACTTTTAATTTGATCATTTTTGATACCTTTTCCATTGGCATTATTTTAAGCAAGTGACACCCTTGACTATACCTGCTGGGGAGAAAAATTTGAATAGAAATTAACCTACAATGCACAGCTTATTCTGAGCCTACGCCTTGGCCCTTAATGCAGATAGAGTTATTGTGCAGAGGGGAGCTAATCTATCTGGGGTGAAGGAAGCTCTGTTAAGGAATGGTAGTGTGGTTTTCAAGTGACAAGATTTCTTGTTGCCTAGATCAGTTAGGGGAGGCCTGCATCTCTGTTCTTTTCTGTTATGGCCTAGGGTTGCTCTGGTAAAGGAGAAACCTGTTTAGGGCTGACTTGGATAATTCCCTTAAAATCCTGCCAGGGTGATAAATGAATAGTAATTGATAAATGATTAGGAGCTCTGCAATATAGAAGAAACGAGACTGGATCTCTGGGAATTTATATGGATTTCATTTTATGCAATAGGCTTCAAAGCAAATGTATTGCTTTATTTTATGATTTACTTTGCTTGAAGATAAATGCTCTTGTAGACTATTTATTTTTAACTTTTTCCATAACTTATGGTGGTTATCTTACCTGTTAAAAACTTACCAGTTATTTCCAACTATTTGTTCAAATGCTAAATCTAGAGTTCTAATTAAGCTGTTCTCGTTATAGGCGAAATCAAATAGTATTAAATGTTAGTATAAATATTTACTATACAGAAAAAGTATTTTCAGCCTCAACTAATGGTTTTGAATTCTGTTAATATGCAGCATTATGTTTTCAAAGCTTGACTATTACCTGTGATATTTGAAAATACTGAACTGCTCAGATAAGATGGAAATAAACTGATTTTAAGAGATTTGTTTATCAGTTGGTGGTTGAATGTAAGCATGGAAAGGGAGATCTTAGCAGAAGCCTTTTTCAAATTACTCTAAAACTCAATAGGCAATAATCAGAGGTGGTATGGTGTTCAGAGTTTGAAGCTGTCATGTCTTAGCTTAATGATGTTCTGGTTTGTACCAAAGTTTCTGGCTAGACTTCGGGTAGAAACGTAAAAGTAAATGTGAATCAGATTCTTTTTTAAAGTTGTAATAAATTAAACACTTTTTACAACTGGAACTAAAAAAAGATTTGTTCTTTCTAATAAGAGAACACATCTGGAGAAGTGTTAGTACGTCAAGGGATAGTTAGGAGCCTTTCAAAGTCAACTGAAGTGAAAGTGGCAGGAAACCGAGGGAACATAGATGTCAGATTGACCTGAGTCAGACAGAATGAACAGCATGATGGACAGATTACCTGTGGTCCCCAATCTGGGGTCACTAGACTTTGGGTCTTCTGGAACGTTGTAATTGAGGTCTTCAAAAAGTCAAAAAAGCATGTATTCCCACATAATGCTGCCCAGGCTAATGAAACATCCAGTTTCTTTGATTTTGCCTGTATTTATATTCATTCAGTTTGTGGACACTAGTTATGTTATGTTGATCAAAAGTTCTGATTTATATTTTTGAGAAATAAAGGAAAAATAAATAATGGAAAAATACTGAAACAATTTTTTAATAACTACTTTTAATCAAAAATTTGAAAACTTGTGTCCACTGTGGAAAAATATTAGAGCCCTTACTGTGAAATGAATAATGTTCTTGAGTCTTGATAATAATATTCAGGAGACCTTAAGAACTACCTGAAGATGAATTAGGAAATGGAGTGGTGAGCCTTTTTTAGTGAATTAATGGACTAATCTGGTTTGTAAATCAGCAAATTTCTGTATATTGGTCATAATACATGTAGATGACAGGGCCAGTTAGTGTATCTTCTCTTTTTAGATTTAGAAAGATTGTTGTGTTTTAGTGAAAATTAACTTGCTAAATGAGACATTTTATTATTTGTACTTTTGCTCTATGGTGTTTCTGATTGGTCGTAAACATATCATAGAAGTAAGGAATATTGTCTTTTGGAAGGTTACAAGCACATTTATAATTAATAGAAAATATTTGAAGGATCTTTTAAAAGTCCAGATCATAAAAATGGTATTACTGTTTTAAATATTATTAACAGCAATTCTCTTCCATTCTGTGTTTTACTCTAATTCTTATTTGTGTGGCTTTACTTATTTTGTACCTCCCAGCTGAAATAATCTCTTTTCCCTTCTCTTTGCCTAATTTTCACTCATCTTCAAAGCCCAGTTCATTTGTCACTTTCATGAAGCCTTCCATAACTATTTTAGTCTCACTAATTTTACTCTTAATGTTTAAAACATTTGACAGATGAAGCACTATTTACTTTGGCTTTCATTCTTAATATTTAATGGGCTGTTTCTGTCACAAAATTTCTGTACTCAGAGCACCTAGAATAATGCTGAATTCTTAACAAAATTCCTTGATTGATTTAACTCAGTAGAAGAGAGGCTAATTTAAAGTAAGTGAATTTGATTAATGCTAACAAGAATAGGCCTAAAGATTTTATATAATGTGGGTTTTTTTTTCTTTTTTCTTTTTCTTTTTTTTTTTTTTTTGCTCTCATTACCTGTGAATTTCTCTTGGCCTTCAACATTTGGCAACTATTCAGGAAAATAAGAAGATGAAGGTAGCACGTATACTTGGAATTCTGAATTGTGACAAAGCAGTGTCACTTAAGTAGGATTTACATTTCTGGGATTCCTCATGCAACAAATAATGTAAACTGGCAAAATGAAGTTTTCACAACCAGCACCATCAAGTAGCCACAGATTCAGGAATCTTAAGTTTCCTGAGCAGCTGGCAACTAGCAAGTATAGTTAGTTAGATACTTATTTTATTCCTTAATAATAAACATACTTCATTTTTATGTCGTTTAAAAAACATTGAACATATACCGTAAACGTAACACTGTTTTTAGGTAGTAATTTAGAGCAAAGGAGATTTGATAGAAATTGTAATATTGACAAAAACTATTGGTAATTAACCAATTTGTTCATCTCTTAAAACTATTATTTGTAGAAATTGTCCAAATAGTAAAATAGAATATGGTATTTCTGAATTGGAACAGGTTAAACAATTCAAGTGGAAAGACGTGTTTCCTGCTGATATCTAATAATAAACATATTTTAGTTGGCTATGCATATCTTGAGCAGGATTATATATTACTGGGGGGGAGAAAAATAGGAAAATAGTTCTTTTTAGCTAGTCAAATAACAGAATTATACACACTTTGAAAAGTAGATTAGTGCCTAGGAATATTTTTTACGTGGAAGGGGAAAGAAGTCTTCATTGTCAAACAGTTCTTTTCATGGCCCCACGTTACTTGTAAGACTGATAAAGCTGGGTTGACAAGCCTTCCCTCAGAGGCCCAGATAGTAACTGTTCTAGCTTGGCAGGCTGAGGGTCTCTGTGGACTGCTCCCCCAGCCCACTGTAGTTTGCCAACTCCTTCTCTAAAAAGTACGTTACATATGCCCTCCAAAGTTTTGTAATCTTCCCATTTTTCTCTTTTAAATATAGATTGACCCTGATGGGTCAAAGGCAGTTTGAAGGTAGTGAGACCACGGAGCTAACAGGATGGTATCAGGTGCAGACTTTGGAGTCACACTGCCTGTATTCAGATCCCGCCCTTCCTGCTTTCTGAGCTGCCCGACCTAGGATAAGTCCCAGCTTCTCTGAATTTCTGATTTCCTTTTCAGTAACAGAGGGAGCTCGACCTGATAGGGTTGCTGTGAGAATTACATAAAGCTCTTTAGCGCAAGACCTGGCACATAATAAAACTAAATATTAATAAATATGATGATGACAGTGATGATCGTTACTATCTTACACTTTGAATTATTCCTTGAGTTAACAGCATATTAACATTATTTGATTAATTTCCTCCCCTTTTCTTAATTTCTATGGGAGGCTGTCTGGGAATTGTGATGAGTGGGAAAACGGATTGTAGGGTTGATGTGTAGCTTATTTACAAAATAAGCATTTTTTTTAGGAAGCTCAATTTGGATTTTATGCCATAAACTTTGTATTATTAGGTAAAAGTAGGTTATCATTTAATTCATTCAATTCATTCAGGCAACAAATGTGTGTCAAGCCTTACTCTGGGTGCTGGCTGTAACACATGTTATGTGTCAGGCCTTATTCTACGTGTTAGGTATAAAAACAGACTATGGGCTCTGCTCTGCTATTAATTTTTAGAATGCTATTAACAATATAATATTTTAAATGGATTCACATATATATACGTAATTATATATGAATATAATTTAATTTTATAATTTACAATATAATGAGTCATAACTTTAAGATTTTAAAAAATCTTTTCTGTGAACCTCATTGACTTTTAGAGGTATTTGCAGCACTTTCAGTTGATACTTTGGTTTCTGGAGTAACCACTGATTTTCTGGTCTGACATTATACTTTTTTAAAAAACCGAGAACACTGTGCATGAAATACAGGACTATGAGAGCTACAGGGTCAAACTGACAGTGACCAGGAGATGTTTAGAGAGTATTTTATCTGTGGTTGTTTACAATAACTATTGTTATAGACAAGAATCATTACATTTTTAATGTAATACATGTCATTTTAAAAATTATGTGCTATTTCTTGAGAGGAAAACTTCTGTACTTGGGAAGATATTGAGTAAAAGTATTTTGTTCATTTAAGGAGTATGCCCTGCACTCTTAAGGCACACACAATTTCTCCCCTTCCTTGTTCCACATGAGTTAGCTTTAGAAACTAGCCCATCATTATTTAGAGTGAGAGTTGATGCCTAAAACTGGATAAAGGTAAACCTTTTTTAGTCATGTAGTAAAGTGTAAATAGCTTTTTCTGTGTCTAATTCTTGTTTTCTTCCTACTTTTTTCAGGAGGTAACAGTTAATTTCAACTATCTTCACATAACAATGCTTCAGTAACAGACTTGAAAGGAAAGTGAGGTGTCACTAGAAAGAGGGTGTTTTTCTTGTAATGGTGTAGATATTAGAGTATTTATCATATAGTTTGTATATAGAGATAAGCGATGGACTAGGGAGGGGTGGTTAAGCTGTAAGTAAAAAGAATCATGTGCCTGATAGACCAGCACAGTTAAGAAATGTGGAATATTTTCTCACTGCTTTGACATTTTATAAATTATAATACTGGTATTAAGTTAGTTTAAACACAGGCACACTAATGTAGAAGCCAACATGAGAAGCCTTCTTTAAAAAGGAGTCATTTTGAGAAATCTAAAGATTTAGATGATTAGGAGAGGTGTTTATGATAAATGACTAAATGAGTAAAAATAAGTTGGATTACTTTTCTTTCTGCTTGATGAAAGTCAGTGATATAAAAAATAAAAAAGGACATTAAAAATTATGGGAATGATGAGAGTAGTGAGTTGGCATTGCATTTCTTTGATAGAGTTATCAATGACCATAAAAGTATTTATTTAAAAGAGACATCTTAAAAGATAACTGCAGGTTTTTTATACATTTTGTACTATTGAATTTGGACACAGATGTTGAAATTTCAGTTATGTTACTTGCCACTTTGATGTCCTTGTACTTGTCATGCAGAAATAACAACTAGTTTCATCCTTTGATTTATAGTAAGTAAGTCAGTTTTATTATTGTTGGTATAGTTTAATGTAATAAAACTAAGGAGCAAACAAAATTAAAATCCTCCAAATTGTATACTAATATTTTCCCTTAGTTTAAAATGCTTTACTATATTAAAGCTTTTCTATTTGTATTTACTTCTTTTCTGGAAGACTTTGTTAAGTTTTTAGATTATATAAACTAGGTTATTAAGCCTTCAGATGAGTCTACTAGTTAAAATTTGGATGTAATGTTAACCAGTATTTCAGTTTAAGAAAATTTATAATTGTATTATGCAAAATAAAATATTTTTGGCAGTTATTTTATAAAGCTGTGAAGCTATTTGAAACTCCTGATTTAGACTATTTTGGTAACTGTTAGTTTTCCTTTTTAATTTTTATAACTTGGTAAAAATTGAGCCTGTTCTCCCAGAAAATATTCTTGTGCAAATTAAAGAGTAACCTCATTCATTGGAACTTGACCTTTTTAAGGTTTCTAAGAAAAATTAGGCTCCCAACCTTGTCAATTCCTAGTTGTTTTTTCTTCTGTGTTTCTTAAGATCGATTGTCTGAAAGACCAGCATTTAAAAGCATTGTGTAGAAAATGACTTCTATTTTAGTTTCATGCCACATGTGAAAACATTGCACCAGATGAACATTTCATAATTATTAAATGGAATTAATTTTAAACATAGAAATGGTGATTATTTTGTGCATAGGTCCAAACTGGATTTTGTTTCATTTTTATTTTCATAATAACTTATATTATCTCCATATCTTAATTATGTTCTTTTATAGTACCTATGCTTTAGTTATTGATATCTCACTGGTTATAGTCTCATAGGCTATTTTTATTTAATGTCAGAATAGCTCACAAAATGAAAATTCATTGAAATCACTTATTTGATGATGTATAAAGTTAAAAGAGTATCCCAAACATTTTTTAAATTGCCAAAAAAATCCCTTAAAGTTTAGTCAAATAAGATAGTGTGCATAGCATGTAAAATATATGAATTAATGTAAAACCTTGATTAACTTGATGCTCAAAAACTTAGTTTTAAGGGGCTGTAATCTTTAATTAATTGAAGACATTAAATGTCAAGGAAAATATAATTAAGAATAAATAATGTAATAAGTAAATAAGCTATTATATGTTCTCTGTTTAGTCTTATGAAACTTACGGTTGAGAACTAAAAGATTCAGGCCTGTAAGATCAACACTGTTCAAAAAAGTTTTGGTTTTTCCCCATATGTGTCATCAGGAGTATACACTAGTTCATGTTGGCAATTCAAAAATAAGGGTTGAAATTTTTGTTTTCTTGATTTTCGTGTTCCTAGGAAATTTAGTGAACTACAGTGCCGCCTTCCTTGAGCATTCCAGTTAGTCTGGGTTTTACTGTATTTTGATATTATATATCTGGCTCATTTTATTAAGCAAACAGACGCTGCATTTTCCTTTTTACTTTTTAAACTATTCTGTTTATATTTCGAGACATAATTTTACTGAGGGAAAAATGGAAATGTGGTACAGAGCCCAGTTATATAGTGGCTCTAAAGGTATATAACTGAGTTTCCATTTTTGTTATAAGCTGTCCATTCCTTCCTAACTTACATCTGTACCTTTCTTGTGCCCTTTGGTTTAACATTGTTCTCCTCCCCAATTTTCCTCTTCTCCTCATTATAAACTCATGGCAGGGTCTGCTTGGTGAGCTCATTCTATTACAACAGCAAATTCAAGAGCATGAAGAGGAAGCGCGCAGAGCCGCTGGCCAATATAGCACGAGCTATGCCCAACCGAAGCGCAAGGTGATGGATGGTTTAAGGGGGCTACTGATGTGTTCTCACTAATCAGCCATTTCTACCAAGATCATGTCGCCTTAATCCATTCATGGACTCCAAATATGAGAAATGATCTTTGACAAAGTGAAAATATGAAAGATGCATAATACAGATATGCAACTTTCCTAGAATAGGTAAACAAACCCAAAATACCAAACACAGGAATTTATTTTCTGAAAATTAGATTATCTGTGAGGAATAGTGGATTTGTACTTAGAAAAGAATTATGAATTGTGGTTTATTTGGTCCAGTTATTAAGTCACCCTAAGTTTGTAGCCAACTTGCCTGTTTATTTGTTCTCCAAGTTTTCATTTCTAAAATGAAACAGATTACTGTCAGTGACCATGTTAAATTGTTTAAAGAACGAAATGTATTTGTTTTAGCTGAAATGAATCAACAGAGAACATTCTTATTTCTTACAGAAATTAACTTTTGAACAAAGTTATTCCTAGATACTTTAAACTTGTGGCATAAAGATTTTCCACATTTATTAATAGAGTAGGCAACCAATAAATGTTCGCATTGGACCACTGAAAGATTGAACATTGGAAATTTTATATAATTCTGGTCACTTAAAGAACAGGTTTTAATAAAAGTCAGCATAACTCTGTACAAATATTTGGTTATAGATGTAATTAAGAAGTCCTTAAAAATATGCTTTTGGCTGTTAGTTGATCCTGTAGCATAGATCCCAAGATTAATATTCTAAAGTGACTAGAGTCAAATGAAATGTATGTAACGATTTTAAAATTATACTCTAAGATCTTGAACTAGGCTAGGTGTATTACATATATTAGATCAGAAAAGTTTCAGAGTTAGGTACAAATCTTACTCAGGAAAGAAGATTGGTCATATAATTAGCTTCCTGTAGGTTCTGATATTGAAATCAATCAGTATGGTAGATAATCAGTGCAGTAATTCTGCTGGCTAACCCCATCACGTTTGGTGGTGGTTAACACCTGAGAGTACTCATCATAGTTTGATTTATTGTTCAGTGTCGCTTCCTGACTTTTCTCAGTTCCATGGCTGTGGAATCAACTCCTGTGTATTGTTTAGCTTTCAGTGAATGAATAACATAGGTATAAATAGAAAGCAAGTTATTTTTCTACTTGTGTTAAACCAAGGAAGTCCTTGTTTTAAGTGGTGCTTTAGCATTCTCTGTTCTGTGTGCTGTTGAGAACACCACCTAAACACTAACAAATTGGATGCTTAGGCGGAGCCATCCACTCCTTAGCTTTGTTACAGGAGGCAGGGGAAGGAACTACTATATTTTGGTCTGTTATAGTCCTGGTTACAAGTAGTTCTCGTCTTTTCATAATGGTGAAATATGAAAAATGAGCCCCGTAGATTCACTGTTGTAAGTTCTAAGATACGGTTTTAGATTATCGATAAACTATTGAATCTGATGATTTAAGTGGTATCAGTAGTGAATACTATTTATTTTTGACAGTGCCACTACATAGTGTTCATTTGGGGCCTACTTTACTAGCCTTTTTTCAGGCTTAGAGATATCCTTCCTATTTATAATATTTATCAAATTATCCATGTAACCCTTTTTACTGACAGGACTGTACCTCCATCTGTTTTCTTTATCAAAGTATACTTGGTAGAGCACCAAACAGAGCTTGTTCCTGCTCACTTAAGAGTTATCTTATGTGGAAGTCAGTGGTACTTTAGAAACAACTTATGCTGCTCTGTCATGACATCATTCCGTGTACTGTCCTTAAAGTAGTTTCCTTGCTCTGTCTTCCCCTCGGTTCCTCCTATGGTTAGTACTCGGATGACTTGTCAGCCCTTCATTGCCAGAATAATCAAAATCCTAATTTGATGAGATTTTTTTCATTCCAAGGATTTGCAGTTTACTTGAGGTCCAGAACCACAGCTACTTTTTGTTGCTTTTTAATCGTTTTTTTCCCTTTACTTGAAAATACAAACAGGCCTTCATTTTTTTATATCTTCTTAGTAGCAGCTAATAGATTTTCTCTGTATTATCTGAGCAGAGGAGCTCATGCAGAGACAGTAGATTAAAACCGCCATTGGTGGGTTGCCTCCTATGAATATGTGCACATACATAGAAATTTTTACGAATCTTATGCATTTCAGAATGGCCACAATGGCTTGGTAGGAAGAAATACTTAAATTTTTAAAACTAGGCTTGGTTTCGTGAGGAGCTAGTAAAGGTTTTTCTCTTTCAGCTTTAGCTTGTTTCTGTAGAGGGTTCTGCTCTTTCCCCATCAATTTTACAGCCCTGGAATTGTAGAAAAGCTCTGGTTTCAAGATTATTGATACCCATTTTTGTCAGGGTGAATTTTAAATTAATTTCATAATGAAAACTAAATATATTAAACAGCAGGACAAGAAGTTACTGTAAGTAGCTGAATTTTACCAGTAAAGTGCATCAAAATAAAATATACCCAGATTGCTGGTGAAGACCTTAAGTGACAATAGCATGTAATATTCTCTTAAGAAAACATGTAAAAGTATCATCTGATTAATATTTATCTTATAAACTTAGAAGTTTAAGTCTTTTATCCTAGAAAATATTAGGTCTAATTCTTGACTCCACCCCCACCTGTCTTTTAATATAGTAATCTTCTAATTTAACATTAATCTTTTAATTTAACGTTAAACTAAGCAGATAGGAAGTGTATTGGTAAAACTATGCATGAGTTATTCCTAACAATTGTGCCGGACGGGCACATGATAAATTTAAATACTCCTAAAAATCTGAATTTATAAAAATCTTAACAAACGTGATTACTAAATACTAATATCTGCATAAAGATTGTATTTGTAATGTTCTAGTAACTTTATATCATTTCAACTTTTTATTTATAGTTTTAATTTTACTACATTACCAAGTTAACCTTTTATAGTCCTTGGCTTACAGTAAACATTGTAACTTTTTTGTAATTGTATTAGTTTTTTAATTATTGCCCCAGATGCAGAGTAATGTTGGATTTTCTCCAGTAATTTAGAGTATATTGCATGAAATCGTTAAATATTCATATCCAAAACTAAAACAGTTTATACTAATGTTGTTTATACAGTTCATACTAATTTAGCTGCAGTTGGATGAATATTTAATGGAACAGAGTAAATCAGGGTACCTTTTAAATTGAATTGGGAATATAATCTGCTTAACAGAAGTTTTATAACCACATTATTACAGTATGATGGCATGCCATATGATCAAAATATGGAATTATTTATTTCTTCATTGGGCTTCAAGATTTTGTTCTTTGGATTGTGGGCTCCTCCTCAACTTGCTTGTTTCCTTACATTTTAGGAGACTTAATAATTCTTGTCCATTTTACTCAAACCCATAGTCAGATGGAAAAAAGGCTTCTATCCACAAGTCTCTACTTGATACAAGAATGAGAAAACAATAATACAAAGTTTGTTTTGTATTATCTTTTCTATAATTACCAAACCAGATTTGGAATTTTTAGGCATAGGCTTTTAAGGAAAAATGATATGTACCTATCATTTCTGGCAAGCATTGTCATTTTTATTTGAAAGAAGTTTGGGGGAAATTTTGAGAAAGTGTTTGGAAATAGGACTTAAAATCTCAAAATAACTTTATGCATGGATAAGAATTATTAATGTCTACCTCAATAAGCAAATCATTTAAATTTTTTTCATATATATTTGCTACCATGATGTTTTGATTGCTTAAATAACCAATGAATGAAGATGAATAAAGATTTTATGAATTTTAAGTTAATTTTTGTCTCCTATGGAATAAAGACACATTTAAAAGTTTTGAGCATTAGAAATTAGATAATCATTTTGAAAGACTGAGGATGACAACTTCAGCATCTCACTAAGGAGTCAAAGCACAGTTACATGGATTTTATATAAATGACATCATTTTAATTATAATTGATTATTGTGTCTTATATTTAGAATTGTGACTACTTTAAAGCCTGCTAGACAATAAAGTTCTTTATTTTGAATATTTTATCTTAGAACTATTAGCATTAATAACAATTGGAAATAGTTTACACAATACCTGTGGATTTTATCCTACTTTTGTTTTATGTTCAAGTCAGTTTTAGTTGCTTTACTCAACTTCACTGCTACTGGATGCATTTGCTTTATTATGGCTAGCAGATCTTGCACTGGAACTGAATTTAAAAACAAGCATCTGGCTCCACTTAAAGCTCTGAAAATGCAAGTTGTTCTTTGCACTTATTAAATACTTCCCTATGTACAGAATAGGAATGGATAGTATTTGCTTAAAAGATACACTGTGACCAATGAACTTTTTCAGTAGTTGTAAATGGTAATGTGTCTGATTTCCCGAAACATTTCTGTAAGGGTATCAGTACCTTATTTCTGCAAGCATCCAAGTCCCTGTGCTTGAGTATAGAATTATTTGTCAAGAATATAGTAACCATATGTGTTGATCTCTTATTTTTCTAGCAAGCCAGTCATAAGAACTGACTAGAGTGACAACAAGAGGATGATTGCTTTTGTAGTTTTTCACTTAATATAAAATTTTGATGAGCTATTTTTATTGATGAATAAGATTTTTTTTACTTTCTTAAATAAGCATTTGATTTAAAATTCACTTTGATTAAATATCCATGTAAAGCCAGTAGTTTTCACTCTTAAAAATGCTTTTTAAAAAAACTAAACTTACTGTATATTCTATATAAACCTAATTCTACTGAATGAAATAATTTATTTTAAATATTTAGGTGTCAGACAAAGAGAAAATTGACCAACTTCAAGAAGAGCTTCTGCATACTCAGGTAATTCTGATGAGTAAAAAGAACCAGAGAGTTTTTCTTATACTCTAATGTAAATTTGGTTATGTAAAAATTTATTGTTTTTAACAAAGCAAAATGTGGAATGGTTTAATGATAGAACCTTATTATCAGTAGATGAAAAAAAATGCAAAAGCTAGTTGAGAAATAAGGAATAATGAAAGAACTTGATAAATTTAGTTAACTCATGTAAAAACCTATTTTTGAGTGAAACTTATGCTTCTAATTTTAAAGAAAAGCTATGGGAGGAAACAAAAACTGGGATAAGTGGCTTGTCTTTATATAAAACTATGCTTGCATTTTTACATTGTTAGGCTGATTAATTTAAGTAACAGTTAAAGACATTGGAGTTGAATCTGCCACAGTTCTCTGAAGCCCAAAGCTATTCAGATAATAACCTTTCCAAAGATATTTCTAGCGCTACTCTGAAGGCTGTTTTCTTATAGCTGATGATACAGTTATCATTATTTTAAAGACTTATTCTGTGCAATATAATGAATAGGTACCATTCTAGTGAAAAATTGCCCTATTACCCACTCTGTCTTTAGTTATCCTATGTAGATAAAATGATATGCAATAATTAAGAAGTTTTTTTTTTAATTAAAAAGATTTATCTTGGGTCTCTCTTTTTAGGGGCAAAAATACAACAAAGATAATCTAGGTGAAATTAAAAACCAGTACATTTTGAGTCTCAGGTTTACTTATTATCTATGCATTGATTCTTATACCTGACTATGTGTTAGAATCACTCTGGGCAGCACACTATGTACATATTTTAAGGCTTCTTGGCCAAGTGATTACAATCTGCAGCCAGAGATTAAGACTCATTATCCTCAGAGTATGGTCTCTGGAGTATTAACATCAGTAGTATCCTTTGGGAACTTGTTGGAAATGTAAATATTGGTCCCTTCCCAACACACTGAGTTGGAAACTGGGAGTAGAGCTGGGCAGTCTTTCTTCTTAAAAGCCCTCAAGTGATTCTGATGAATTCTTAAGTTTGAGAATCATTGGTGTAGAGACTTGCAGGACAGCCCAGTAGGACATCTCTGCAGGATGGCTGCATATTGGCACATATACCAAAGAATATTTCCATCTCCAGGAAATGCAGACCCATAATTGATTCCATATTTACTAAGAAGTGAGCCAGTGGAAATCCTACCATCCTTCAGTTGACGCAAACACTCTATGGAAAATTCATGTTGTAATAACGGTGTTACCTGTATCAGTAGTGCCTGGTAAAAATGTAATGCAAGCCATGTGTAATTTAAAATTTTTACATTTAAAAAAAGGTAAAAAGAAATAGAATTTTGATGTTAATATTTAACCCAGTAGATCTCAAATAATATAATTTAAACATTTAATTAGTAAAAATAGTAATGAGGTGTTTATGTATTTTTACTGAATTATAGATGTATATTTTCTTCTAAACACATCTCAATTCAGACTAGCCACATTTCAAGTGCTTAGTATCTACATGTGGCTAGATATGTGGGTACCATCCATATTAGACAGTGAAGACCTAATTCTTAGATAACTACCAGAATTTGTTGTATAGGCTATTACTACATGTAAATGAACAAGTTCTATAAAAATATATTTATAATAGAATCTAGCCTGTAGTTCTACCTGTCTCATACTATATAGTTCAATGCTAATACTGTTTTCTTTAGTTTGGCTTAAGTTGGACATTATCTGAGGATAAAGCCATGATCTCTTGTTATTTGCTTTGTTCTTGGAAGATTATAACAACCTAAAAGATTTTCTAAGAAATATTTTCCATTATAAAAGGGATATTATTGTAAGTTGGACATAAACATTCAGTTGATTATAGGAAAGAGTAATTCTTAATAGTTTTCTGAACATTGTTAATGTTTAGAGGAGAAATAATTTAAAAACAGAGAAGAACAATTAGAAAAGGATCACATGTATTTGAAAACAGTGTGTAGCCAATCATCTACTTTGACAAAAAAATCCTGTCTAAACATAAGCGTCTCCTTTAAATTGTTTTTAAATCAGTATTTTAAAAATTAGTATGTAATCTCTGGCCAAGAAACTTACTAAAACTTGGAAGAGTTTGAGCCCTCAACTCAGACCTATATTCCAAGCTCTGTGTCCTTAGGTGAGTTAGCAAGCCTCCCTAACCTCAGATTCCTAACCTGTTAACCTTTGCCTCGCATGAAAGCCTACAGGAGTTAATGCAGGGGAAGCACTCAGTAAAGGGCCTGTCAATAATGCATGATCAGGTACTGTTAGCTGCTTGTATTTTATATCATTTTAATTAAAGCATAAAATAACATGGGGGATGGAGAGTATTTGAATTTTTGTCAGGTGTCCGTTTAATGAAGACTGAAAACTTTTGATGTAATAGAAAACACTGCTTCAGGAGTACACTTAGAAACTTGCTGCTTTAACTCCTTATGCTTTTAGTATTTTTAAGTAATTTCTTCAATATAAACAGCAAAGAATTTTCCAAATAAAATGCCAATTATAATAGAAAACTATAATGAAGATCATTATTTGAGATAATATGCGTAATTTATTCAGCATTTTTCATAGAAGCCTTTTAAATGATATAACTTAAGTAGTCAGGAGATAAAGCTTCAGGGTTTTAAAAGATTTTAATTTAGACTAAATTAATGTTTTTTTTTAACTAATCTTTTTCTTAAGTTACGTGTATTATTTTGTTGCAGTTAAAGTACCAGCGAATCTTGGAACGATTAGAAAAGGAGAATAAAGAATTGAGAAAATTAGTGTTGCAGAAAGATGACAAAGGCATCCATCATAGAAAGCTTAAGGTATTTCAAATTGGTCTTGATTTGTCAGTTCTCAGAACTTTGCCACTTCACATTGTGTGTTCATCAATACCGGTTTTTAAGGAATTGCAAAGTGTTCTATCATCCTTTTCTTTCTAATCTGGTATTTTTGGGGGCTAGAGAGTTCTCGTCTCATGATAAGACATTTCTCAAATTATAATCTCCAAACATTTATTTATATGATGCCCATAAATTCTTCATGCTTTTAAGAGTCTTATCTTGTGAATCAATTTATTTTTTCTTAAATACTCGGTTTATCTTTAGACTTACTTAACTTCTGTGGCTAAAAAGCCAGCATTGTGAGTTGGTAGACATTTATATATGACTTAATCTTCATTGCCTTACCTGTACTTCCACTGAATGAAGCAGTAACTTTCTTTAGTCTTAAAAGAGTTAACAGTTTCTTCTGGAAGTTTCCTTGGTCATTTTAAAGAATTTTTTGAAAAAATATGCTGGTATTGTTACCAGCACAGTGGTAATTACCATTATCAGTAAATTAAATCTTACTATTCCTCACTAAACCAACTTGTATGTGCTAAATTAAATTGAAGTAATTCTTTTAACTTAAATATCATATAAGTAAACAGAATTTGTGTGTAGCCAAATCATGGCACGTGCATTTCATAGCCAAGATTCTAAGATATGTAGTTCTAGTTTAACTAACATGTATTAGTAGTTTTGACTCTAAATTATGACTGCATAAAACAAACAAGTAGCATGGCTTTACTTACAAGTCAACACACAGCAGTTGAGAAAAGTCATATCCAAGTGTTAATGTATGTTGAGGATTTACCTGAGAAATTGTATTTTCTCTCATAAAATGAAGTGGTAATGAAAATTTGAAAAGCTTTTTGCTTATTTTTGATGGGGTGGAAGGATAACAGTTGCTTTCCTTTTAGTTATTTCTAGGTGTTTAGAAATGAAAGGAACTGTAGGCCTTCATTTTGTTCCTACCTCAGTATTAACACTTACCTTTAATTATTAAATGCTGGATAGTAGCCATTTTTCCAGTCTGTTTATATGTTCGTTCATTCCTCAAATCCTTGAAGCTTATTATTTTCCAGGCACCATGTTTGATACCAGTTTTACTGAGAGAACAGCACAGGAGGTCTGCCCCTGATGCTGTCACATTACCAGAGCACACTTAATCGTTCTTCCTGACTTAACAATAATCTTGGTATTCTTTCTCTGCTTTACCCTTTCTTCTGTCTCTCCCTCTCTGACGCATACACCAAACATTCCTTTCAGTTGGTCACTTGACCACTTTTGGGCCCTTTTTGGGATTAATGGTCTTCCTTTGTTGAGCAGTTAATATTAGCTCTTCAATATTAAACAATAATGTCCTCCTTTACCAATTAATTAGAAAGTTAGGAAAACCTGAATTAATATACTTTCAGTGTACCTTTAAATAAAATAAATCGGATAAGAAGATGTGGAATTTTATTCTGTACTGTTTTACATTTACTAGGATTATTTATTTGCATAACTAGAAAAAAAGCAATACAATGATTATGGAAAAACATTTTTAATTTATCAGCTTTTTCTCTTGATATCTGTAGTTTCTTAAAACTGTCTCACTGTTTTATCATATTAATTTTTTGAATTTTATAGAAATCTTTGATTGACATGTATTCTGAAGTTCTTGATGTTCTGTCTGATTATGATGCCAGTTATAATACACAAGATCATCTGCCAAGGGTAAGTGAAAAATGAGTATGCAGTAGACTTGCCCATTAGCAAAAAAAAACTTTAAAAAAAGTTATGTGTGTATATACACACACAGAGTACATACACATATATACACACATAGACAAAGACAAAAAATTTTCTTTACATAATATTATTCATGTGATGATGTCTTAAGCATTGAATGTTGTTTGACTATTTTGGACCATTGGTTTACTTATATTTATGCATAATGAAGGAAAACTATAAGATATTTGGCATTATGTATTCTTAATATCCATGATATTATTGAAATACTTGAATGGTGGATTAAATTAAGTAACCTCATAGAACTGAAAATATCATTGTAAAGAGTAAAGTAGCTATGGAAAAGATTTATGGAACATTAATGTTAGTCTGTTTTTAGAACTAGTGGTTTAAATTAGTATAAGTTTTTAATAAAAATTTGACTAATAGTGGATCCAATTATATTTTGCTGTTTATTTTTAATACATGTATCAACCATCATTCTTTTCATGGTTAATATTTTAAAATCATTTAACTGTGGATAATGTTTAAAGACTAAAAATTCTCAGCAGTGTTCCAAATCTATTTAAATTGAAGTTGGTGGAAAAATATGAATTTGTGGTATTTATTTTGTGGTAAGGTTGTCGTGGTTGGAGATCAGAGTGCTGGAAAAACTAGTGTATTGGAAATGATTGCTCAAGCACGAATATTCCCGCGAGGATCTGGGGAGATGATGACCCGTTCTCCTGTAAAGGTGAGAAGATAGGCCCTTCGGGTTAGTAGGCTTACCTTGACGATCATTTTGTAATGTGTTTACATGTCAAATCACTGTTCTTTACATCTGAAACTAACGTATTGTTTGTCAACATACTTCAACTAAAAAAAGAAAAGAATAGGCCAAATGAAGTTTCTCAGGAAAGTAATCACCTTCACAAAGTTTGTCTGCTGTGTTGCAATGAAGAATTTTGACAAAAGAAAGAGCTGATACATGGCATTTGGAATTATTCCTAGTACAGAAATCAGTAGGAGGCATCCCTCAGGCAAGAACAAAGATCGGGAGTTTTGGACTTGCCTAAGGAGTGTTAGCAAACAAAGGAGCAGTTGGGATATACAAGTTTGGAGAGAGATTTGGGCCAGAGATTGAAACTGAGAAGTCGTAATCATTGAATTTGCCAGTGGAGGCAAGTAGCTAGAATACTGAATGTTTTCTTCTGATTGCTTCCACTTCCTCAGTGAAATAGGAAACTAGATTTATTGGCTGTTAAGTAAAGAAGGGAGAAGGTATTGAAGGCTAAGGTAAGAAAGACATCTTTTAAAAAATAGATACACACACACACCCCATTAAGGTCTGTGGACATAAATCTAAGGGGGATCTGTGTGTGTGTGTTTGTGTGTGTTTTAGTTCAGCTGATGGGTGAGTGGTGTAGGAGTGCTTGGAGAATTGGAAGATTGAAATCACCAAGAATGAAGGCCAGAATAGTGGTAGAAAGTGAGACAATGAGGCTGATGCTAAAATCTTCCAGAAATGAAGTCTGTTTATAACTGCAATAGGCAGTCTAGTGTGATTCATAGAGTGCATTGTTTGGGGTCTGGCTGTGAATTGAACCATGTTGTGTAAAGCTAGTTTCTTTTTTCATCGCTTGGTGTTGTGTGAACATTAACATACTTTATAGATGCATTTTACTATTGATGGGCATTTGGAATTTTTCCATTTTGGGGGGAAAAAATGAACTGACTGTATCTTATATGATGCTCTGTAATCAACTGTAGAAATAGTGTAAACCTACCTTTTACATTGTTACCAGCATCCTATTGTAGTGGCTGTGGCTGATGGTATATTTTAGGAAGGAATCAACTTCGGCAGGCAGGTATCATGGACAGAGTTCCTTGAAACAAGACAAGGGTGGTCTCTTTCCAGTTTGCCATTACTCGTCTAGTATTTACCAGGATTTCTTAAAGGACTCTAAACTCCAGATTTTCTAGACTCTCCTTGAAGAGTGAGATGCCAGAATCTTGACTTAGCATCTTAACCTCTTTAGCAGCTTCTTTCTGCTTTGTTCCTTAATGTGCAAATGCCTGAAAGGGAAATTGTGTGTAGAATGTAGGGCTCATTTTTTGGAAGTTCATTTTTGCTGTCCATTTTTCTCTGGGATCTTGGCACCTTAAATTGTGGCTGCTTGATAATCCTGATACCTGCTTTTGTCCCTCAACCCAAAGAGACTGCTACAAATTTTGAGCTTCTCTCTCAGGCTGCCCTGTGCCACAAATCAGCAAATGCCCCGAGGGAAAATAGAAGAAAAAAAGAATATCCCCCTATGTCCTTTGGGATCTTGGACTCAGTCCAGGTTACCATAGTTGCTCCTCTAATGCCTTCAAACAGCTGGCTTTTGTTTGTTATCTTATGTATGCTTAGGTAATCTCAGTAGAAAGAAATGTATTTTCAAAGTGAATTTGAATCATTATAGAGAAGCTTGAAAAGTTAAGGAATGTGAAGTTTAGAAGTTCACATAAAACCACTGACCATGTAAGTTGTTAGAAAATTTCTTGCTCAAATATCCCTCCTTGGGTGAAGGCTGCCTTAGTTCCCCTCGGTACAGTGTCTTCTGTGGCACCCTATGTTTTGTTACTCTGATGTGTTATCTCTGTGTATATTTCTCCCAGCATATGGCGAGGGCTAAACCAGGAACAGTCAATTCTTCACGTTTCCCCTGCTATGTCTGCCACAGTTAGCCCTCAATAAATCAATGTTGGATAAGTGAATTGTCCTTTACCTACCTAAATTTACCTTTGAAGTGAAATGCGAGATTTTCTTTTAGTTTTTCAAGTTTGAGATTAATGGCTTTGTGCTTGATACTCTGTGTCACGTTGACTGGGAAATGAGAGAAGCAGCAGCGTTTTGGGTCATAAAAAATGTAAAGTAGCCAGCAGTCTTGTTGGGAGATTATAATGCATGTGACAGATGTTTGGACAGTGTGGATACAGAATTCTGTAGTCTCTGCATTGTCATGTTGACAGCCCCTGGAATGCTCCTGACATGTAATATAAAGGGACCTCTGGATTTGTGCGATGCAGTGGTCCAGTCTAGACGAAGTAAATGCAGTGGGAATTCATAGGAGTTGTAAATACAGTCTTCTCAATTTTCTGTTAATTTCAGGTGACTCTGAGTGAAGGCCCTCACCACGTGGCCTTGTTTAAAGATAGTTCTCGGGAGTTTGATCTTACCAAAGAGGAAGATGTAAGTAGAATTCATATGCGGCTTAATGTATGTGTAACTTTATAACCTATGTCAGCTCATAAAAGGCAACTAAATGGAGTATTTGCTAACTGAAGATTTTCTTAGGATTTTGTTGTTTTCCATTGATAGCTTGCAGCATTAAGACATGAAATTGAACTCCGAATGAGGAAAAATGTGAAAGAAGGCTGTACTGTTAGTTCTGAGGTAAGTGTTACTATTCATTTCAACAATGTTTTATGGAAAGCCAAGGTTTATCATTTGAAATCGTGACATTGCTATTGATGTTTAGACTGCAGCTATTCCAAGAAGCTACATTAGTTGTTCTTTTTTTATTCCAAGTAACGTATTTTGTGGGTAATTTTCTAGGATAATTACTCTTAAGATCAGAAATACTTTAACTTTTTTCTGAGTCACACATCTGAATGGATGAGGTATAGAAGTTTCAGAATTTGTGTCACCAAAAAATTCCTAACAAGCTTCCTCCCAAAATAGTTTTTGTTTTTTGGTTTTTTTCCCCTCTGAATAGACCATATCCTTAAATGTAAAAGGCCCTGGACTACAGAGAATGGTGCTTGTTGACTTACCAGGTGTGATTAATGTAAGTATATACACAACGTGTGTTTTATCTTATTCCTATTGTGGAAGACATTTATAATGACATTTAAAACCTTTTTTCTTCAAGACTGTGACATCAGGCATGGCTCCTGACACAAAGGAAACTATTTTCAGTATCAGCAAAGCTTATATGCAGAATCCTAATGCCATCATATTATGTATTCAAGGTAAATCTTATTGAAAGATTTTTAATATCACTCATGTTCTTCCTTATTTTGCAATCCAAGCTTTGCTTTAAATATGCATGTTACATAAACATAGAAAATAAATATGTTTTGTCCTGTCCTCTTACTTCTTCATTTTATTAGTGACTAGAATTAAAGTTGGTAATATAGCGATACATTTCATTGTGTAGGCATCATAGGAATTTTTATTGGCTAGAATTTCTTTTCATAACTAAAGTAAAATATTAAAAATTTTCTTACTATAACAAAGTTATAGCTTATTGACTTTTTAAAACCCATTTTGTAACTACTACAGTGTCCTTTTTCTTTTTTTTTGTTCAGATGGGTCTGTGGATGCTGAACGCAGCATTGTTACTGACTTGGTCAGTCAAATGGACCCTCATGGAAGAAGGACGATATTTGTTTTGACCAAAGTAGACCTGGCAGAGAAGAATGTGACTAGTCCAAGCAGGGTGAGAGCAAGTTCTTTATTGTGCAAAATGGATTCTTTGTACAAGCTCCAGCTATGACAGGGACTGGTTGGGTTTGTTTGTTTGTTTTTTAAAAAAAACTTATGATATACAAATTGTATGGGATTTTTTTTCTTGGTTCTCATTAAAAGCAAAGTATTGTAAAGTTATAGTAAATTACTTAAGTGCAATTTTGAAGTATAAATGAAATTCCATAATTATAATTAGTTTGCTTCAAATACTTAAAACTGCCAATGTTGCTTACTCTAATTTAAGTAATTTTATATGCTGAGTCATTAACCTCATTTGCAGTATTTTCTGTTTTAGTTTAAAAAGCTTAAGTTGATGTTTGTAAATTAGTATAAAACTAGTGACAGTTTAGATTCCTTTTGGATCTTATTTTATTCTTGAAATTTTTAAATTATTCATTGTTTTTTAGAGAAACATTACCTTTCCTAACTGATGAAAGAGTGTGTAGCAGATTTTCATAATAGAGAGGCATTGGGGTGGGTATCAGGGCTCAGCATTCTTATCCATGCTCTACTAGCAACTGGCTACATGTCCTTGGGCAAATCGTGTTACTTTTCTGCATCCAGGTGATGCAGAACCCAACCTATTAGTCTAGTTGATCTCTAGGGTCATTTTCATTTGTGAGATTCTCTGACCTCTATACATGGTGTTCAGTGTCCTTTTCTCTCCTCTTCCCTTAACAAGGAAAGAATTCTATTTCAAGGTAACATTGTATTGTTAGTTTTATTAGAGTAAAAGTCTTGTCTTAGGGCATGCTCTCTACTTAATTGTAAAGGCATAGGGCAGTGGGCCAGAGTGTGCGGTCTATAGCCAGATTGCTTGGCTTCCATTCTGCTCTACTCTTTGCTAGCTGTGTAACTTTGAGTAAGTTATTTAACTTTTTCAGTGCTTTAGGCTTCATCTGTTGGAAATGAAGATATGAATGGTAGTGCTTCATAGCTTATGGAGGTTTACTGAGTTAAATATTTGTTGTAAAGTGGTTGAATCAGTGCTTGGCACAACAGTGTTATGTAAATGTTGCTGTCATCTCTTGTTACTATGATATCTTTGTCCCCCATGGAATAACAACTTCAGATGTGTAAGTGCCCATCCCTTGTGCTACTGCTTAGAATTTCTCTTTTTCCCATCTGAGGCTTTGTGGGACTGTGCCTCTGTAGTAACTGGTTTCCAAGGCAGACTGCCCCTCGGTTTACTGATTCTCTCGAAGGACTCACAGGACTCAGCACATAGTTACACGTGCACCTAAGGTTTGATTACAATGATAGGATACAAAACAAAATCACAAAAGAAAAGGGCGCAAGAGATGATATCTGAAGGAAACCAGGCCCAAGTTTCCAAGAGTCCTTTCCCAGTAGAGCCACGCAGGAAATGTTTAATCCCTCCAGCAACAAGTTACCCGTTAGAGACTCGGCACCTAAGGTTTTCCCTGGGGGCTGGTCACGTGGGCACCCTCAAGTACCAAAATTCCAGACGCCCAGAGGAAAGCAGATGTTCAACATAAACCACACTTATTGCACAATGAGCCACTGTTATTTAGGGAAAGTTCTATATCAATGTAGGGAATTGTTTACCAGTTATGCTCCCAGTTGCCAGCCGAGGACAGGCAGGCCTTTCTGAGGACAGCAGTCTCAGGTCTGCTATGTCAGCTTTTTTCTGCGCAGCCTTGTGACCTTAGCTTTGCCTGATTTTTAAGGGTAAGACCTGCCGTTGCAGCGTTGGTCCTGATACAGAGAAGGGGAGAGGTGAGGGAGAAGCACGTTTCTGTGCCTCCTCATCTCTTCTCATTCCTTTCATTTTTTTTTCTCTCCTCTTCTCTGGGCTAGTAAGTTTGAATTTCATTTGAATACAGTTGAAGCTTGTATCAGTCTTTTTTATACCAAAGATTCAGCAGTAGCTTAGGCATGTATCTTACCTCAGAGGAGGGATTCTTACCTCAGTATTGATCTGAGTGGACTTTGGGGGGTAGGAACTCTTTTATATTGTGTGTAAATGATCTCTGTGCACATGGGCAATTTTATGGAGACAGAGTCTGCAGTTTAGACTGCAGTTAGAAAAGGATTTTTAACTCTAAAAGAGTTGAGAACCAATAGATCCTTTTTTTTTTTAAGAGAGAGTTTAAAACATCCAACTTTGTTAGAATTTAGATATTTGGAGAAGAGTATGGGGAAAGAATAACAAGGACCATTTATTGAGTGCTTCTGGCACTATGTTAAGTCTCATCTTATCTTATCATCTTTTCAACTACCATTTTGAAAAAGTTAAGTAACTTACTTAAGGCCACATACCTAGTAAGTAGCAGAACAGAAGTTCAAACTAAGGCCTGACACTGTGTATCATTCCAAGTTCTAATTTTGGTACTTATGTTTTCATATGACATTTTTAATATAAGAAAACTAAATGTGTTTAATTCTTTCCTCAAATAGCAATTGAAATACATTTCAGTACTTTTGTACATCCTTATATCTTTAACTAAACATATACATGTTCAGCACCATTAAATTTGCTTTCTAAATAGTATATTATGCTTTAAAAATTATGTAAACCTACATCTCACATTTATTTTTCCCACTTTTAAAAATAGATTCAGCAGATAATTGAAGGAAAACTCTTCCCAATGAAAGCTCTAGGTTATTTTGCTGTTGTAACAGGAAAAGGTATGCAAAGATGGATTATTATAGTTTTTTGTTATTTTTAAATAGTAAAGATTAATTTTCTTAGTGAGAACTTTGCCATCATCTGTCCCTAGGAAACAGCTCTGAAAGCATTGAAGCTATAAGAGACTATGAAGAAGAATTTTTTCAGAATTCAAAACTCCTAAAGTAGGTATTTTGTTTCGATATTTAAAGAATTTATGGTGAGGGAGTAGCTTAAACTGTTTTCATTTAAAAGTTTGTTTTATAGCTGTTAGCTTAACATGAATTTCCATAATTTCTCCCAAATAGTGATCTGTATCTAATAAGCAAGTCCTTAAGCTGCTGTGACAGAATTGGGAGCAGTTTGTCACAGTACAAAACGTGCTGACAGGATAGGCTGGCCCTTAGCATGTGGGCACTGAAAGACAGCACAGACCCCCCCAAGGTCACTATAAAGTGATTTTTTTAATCACTTATATTTTTAAATACACGTATATATTTCTTTTACAGTAATGGAGGAAGTTGGAGTTGGGGATGTCAAAGGGATGTTCTTAAACAGGTATTGACAGAAAATAACAGGAAATGAGATACTGACAGAAAAGCAAAAAGGAAAGGCTAAAGGGCAACTGAATTTTAAAACGTTATGACGTGTAGAGAGTCTTTTGAACTGGAAAAGTGTGTTTGCCTCTGTGTTAGTATAGTAAATCAGGGTAGTCCTCTTACACAGTCTTGAGTATTGTCTGTTGGGGTGGGAGCTGGCAAGTGTGCAGAACTGTGCTGTCCGATACAGTGGTCACTAGCCTTGTGTGCTTGTTTAACTTTAAATTAGTTAACATTAAATAAAATTAAAACCAGCTCCTCAGTTACACTAGCCACACATTTCAAGGGCCCAATATCCCTATGTGGCTAGTGGCTACCATATTGGACAGCACAGATACCGAGTACTTTCTTCACCACGGAAGGTTTATGGGCCAGACCTAGTATAGCGTGATTAAGTAGGGCTGTTCTCGTTATAACAAGCACATTCTCAAACCTGATGTTAGTATTGTGCTTTCTACCACTTCAATATACTCTTGCTCTGGTTATTTTTTATAGAACAAGCATGCTAAAGGCACACCAGGTGACTACAAGAAATCTAAGCCTTGCTGTGTCGGACTGCTTTTGGAAAATGGTACGAGAGTCAGTTGAACAACAGGCTGATAGTTTCAAGGGTAAGTTGGGTTTTAAAGTAAGCTGTCAAATTTAGATATTTTATTAGCTGATAATCTTAGGCATCCATCAGATTCTTTACTCTCTTTAACAGTTGCTTTTTAGTTTATTTACTATAAGACAGTATGTGGGAAATGGAAAAAATGATTTTCAGTTGTACAGGAGCAGGATTTTCCCTTCCAGAAGAGACATTGCTAGGAGCACATTACGAAGTTTGCAGTAGAGTTTGGGAGAAAGAGCCTAGTAAACTATGGAGAACTCAGGGTCCCCCTTTTGAGAGGGAAGAGAGGAAATGTGTTGAGAAGCAGAGCAGCTAATGTGCTTCAGCTCCATTGTACTAGTTCCTGAATCCCACACTTTCCTGTCCCAAGGCTTTGCTTGCTTCCATAGTTTCATTTGGTGAGAGTATACCTTCCTTCCCTTTTCTCATCAGGAAATTCTACCCTTTTATCCCATTGAGTCCCTCACCAACCTTGTAAATATAATTCCCATTTTACAGAAGAACAAACTGAGGCACAGAATAACTTACTTAAGTAACATACCCAGCATCAAACAGTAATAGATAATAGACCCAGGATTTGAATCTTGGTGACGTGACTTCAGAGTCCATGTTCTTAGCAACTGTCCTAATTGCTTCAGCTGTGTGCTTTGTGGCTTGAAAATGGAGAGACTAAAGTCAAGGAGATTAGTCTGGAAAACTGTTGCAGTAATGCAATTCAGATATTAAGAGCCCAGGGTACTCAGGAACTTACAGGGTCACACTCAGAAACTGAGTTAATACAGAAGATTTGTGAGGTAGTCTTTAACTACTGCATCTGGAATAGAAGAGAATCCCCAAACTTGAGCATCTTTCCTTCTTTCTCAGCAACACGTTTTAACCTTGAAACGGAGTGGAAGAATAACTATCCTCGCCTGCGGGAACTTGACCGGGTAATCTTTGTGTACCTCGTGTATTTTGTATATACCTAATTTAATATTGTGCTGTAACAAAATTTATGTAAAGCAAAATCTGGTAATCGAAATTGTTTTGGTTTTGACCATGATTACTGATTCAGGACAGCAAGGTTGCATTTCCAGGAGCAGTTGTCACTTCTACAATAATTTAAATTATTTGTTACATAATAATAAAATAATTAGGAATCATAGGCTATCAAAACAAGTGTTTAAAAATGTTCTCTGAGAAGGTGAAGAATATTCTCTAAGAGTTTTATCACATTAACATATTTAATGTAAACTTTTAAAAATTATGCATCATCTTTTTTACCTTCTCTCTGTTTCCTATGGAGAAATATACTCTGTTAGTGGGGCTTATGTATTGGTTTTCCTTGATCTTAAAATGCCATCAATTGTAAAACACAACATCAACTTACTATTACTAATACAGTAAATTGATATATATTGATAACTTTATCACATAACATTTGTTATGTGAAAAACTTAACTGAACAAATGTTATGTGAAAAACTGTATTCAGAATTAGCTGAATAAGATAGATGTTTGTGTCAGTTTCTTTGTCTTAACCTGAATATTGACATTCCTAAAAAAGAAACTGGAAGAGAGGAGCATTACTTGCTGGTCACACATGCTTCAAACCTAAGCCCAGCCAGAATTCTGTCAGAGGCCTTCCTTTTAGTTAATGTCTGAAAAACATGGCGGGGCAAATTGACTAACTTATGAGAATCTTACATGTATCTGTATTGCCTAGAATGAACTATTTGAAAAAGCTAAAAATGAAATCCTCGATGAAGTTATCAGTCTGAGCCAGGTTACACCAAAACATTGGTGAGTATTTGACCTTTTCTCAAAGACTTTACTATATAAATTATAATGGAATACTAAAATTTAGATCAATAAAGCAGTGATTTATTGTAGCCTTGACTTATCCCCCTAAACACTTAGTAAACAGGCAAGAGCAGAGAAGTATGTCTTCCTGTAAAATCTAGTCAGTAACCAATCAAATATTTTAACTGTAATAAATTTTGCACTTATTAAATATCTCTGAGAAGAGACATTCTGAAAGATAGCATTCTCCGTGCTCTTTTTAAGTCTTGATTTGTCTTAGGCTTTTCTTTACTTTATACTTAATAAATACATAATTTTTATTTCTGTAAAATCATTTAGGTAAAAGTTTTATCAAATTGTGATTTAGATAAATATCAGTCTGTCAAAAGTGGTTGCTCTAGTTGAATTACACATATAGAGAACAAGTCTACAGAGAAAATTGATTTGTTAAAGAGAAGACCATATTGTTTTCAAATTGTCATATCTGCATAAGAACACTGGTGCTTTTGGTAAGATCTGCCTGATATGTTTTGTACAGATTACATTTGAAATTGAATTCTATTTAAGATTTTTTTTAAATAGCAAGTAAATGCATCCTTTTGAAAAATACTCATGCAAAAATTGCTTTTAAGGCAAGCTGTCACCTTCCACCTGTTTTATGTAAATATTGGCATTCCTTAATTTGTTGGAATAGCACAGTAACCAAAAGGTTACTGTGGTTCCATGTACCTCAAGCATGCTATATATAAATAGCACTGAAAGTTTTATAATCATATTTTAATTATCAAATTCCTTGTACATAAAATGTCTAATGAAATCTGTAGTATTTTAAGAATTTATTTTTCTTAAAGCAGAACTGTCCTTATTACCATTCATTATAAATATTTTCTGTAACTCTTCTGTTTGCTCAGTTGAAGGTTATCAATATTGACTGGAGACAGTAGTGTCCAGTCCTTAGATTTCTGTTGAGTGTTACTAGTTTCCTTAACTTTTCCTCAGTGGTGAACCCTTTTCTCTCTTCAAGTGGTTTAAATTTTCCTGTTTTAATCTCTTCTCCTTATCCAAAAGGAATTCTGGTCTTACCTATATTTGTTGATTGACTAATCATATATACACATACACAAAGCAACTTGTTATCTTTGTTATTATTTGTATTTTAAGCTAGTTCTGTGGTTTTCTGAAAATCAACCAGCTTTTGAAGTCTACAAGAGATGTATATATATGTTGTGTGTGTGTGTGTACATACACACACACACACACACACACACACAGAATGAATGTAATACTACTTACTAGGTTGTATAAGGATAATGTACAGAAAAAGTGATTTGTAAACTGTAACAACTAATAATGCTCTTTATGGGAGAATTTGGCATTATCAGGTGGAAATGGTTAGTTTTCTTTGGACAGAGCAAGTCTGAAGTCAAAGTATGCATACACTTAAGTGAGCCTTAAAGATAAATTTAATTTACCTAACACATGGATGACTGAAGGGAACTGTGAGGGGCAAGAAACCTATGTTATCAGATTGGCTATTGAAAAGGCAAGGGAAGAGAACTAGGATGTCTGGCTGCCAGAGATTTATTCTTTAAGCTGCTGGATCTTTTCATCACTTTCCTACCCGCCCCCAACCCCCTGCTTTTTTTTTCCTCCCAGACTCTTATCACTTAACACATAGATCAAAATAGCAGGTACTAATTTTAGCTGTTTGAGCCACATTGATTTCAACTGCATTGTATCCAAAATGTTTTATTTTTATGACATAGTTGATGTCTTATGTAGTATCTTTTTGCTGCATAATGCCTTATGTGACATTTTAGGATGCATGCCTAAGATGTTTATAATTATTTAAGTGACAGGACTGTTTGATCTGTAGTTGGTGATATGAAAACAGTGTTACAGGCATCTTGTCATTCTACAATACTTCAGTTATACTTTTAGAAGGTTATTGGAGGTTTAGATTTGACATGTGCTTCATTATAGTGAGAAATAGGCTCAACATTTTCACACAATACACTTGCTCATTAGGAGTTGATTATGGACGCTAAGCAGGAGATAATGATACATCATTAACACTATGCGACCACCATTATAGTCAGATCTTTTTTTCATGTCATTTAGAAGGATGGGTGGCTGGACTTGTAGAAATACACTTTAAAAAAATGATACTGTGGTATGCATACAATTTTTGATAAAGCATTAAGTTTATTTTGTTGAAGTTAGAAGAATGAAAGGAAAATGGAAATGCACAGTTAAGTGCCCTCAGATTTCTTATATCATAATCTGAGATTTAAAGAGTGAATAGGTGCTGGGTAAAAGGCAGTGACCAGAATATTGCAGATACCAAGAAAGGTGGCACAGGTAACTGAATAGTTACCTATGGCTTCAGCATAGAAGGAGGCAAGAGGAGGGGATGGAATAGTGGATATAAACCAGGAACAGATGATTAAGGGCTTTACAAGTCATGTTCAGAAGCTTGGGATTTATCCCATGAGCAGTAAGGGTCAATGAAGAGTTTTAAGTCACATTTGCATTTCAGAAGGATCTTTGTAGTAAGGAAAGTGGAATACAGGCGGGGAAAACTGAGCAAGGAGACAGCTGGCTGTTGAAATAATCAAGATGAGAAGCAATGGTGGTTTGAACTTCAACTGTGGTTGTGCAGATGGAGAAGGGGAGACAGTTTTGAGATATTTGAGAGGTTACCTAGAGGATAGAATTGACAGGATTTAGTGATTGGCAGGTAATGTAGAAGAGGAGTTAGTTAAGCACTGAGTACATCTGTATCCAGTAATTATGCTGCTAGAACTCTATGGGAATGAAGATATTTTTGACAAAGATGAACGCATAAGAATCTTCACCATGGTTTTGTTTATAAGTGTTAAAAAAATTGAACACTTGTGTTTCTATTTGGAATTATATAATAGTTGATTTATCCATGGAGTGTATTACTGCAGACCCATTGAAAAATAATAGGTTGTTGACATGGAAAACTATGAAAAATATACTTTTTTATTGTATTTATTTAACAGTTATGTGTAATTATCCACCTGTGTAAATACACACAAATAGTAATGTAGGCATTAACTTTTCTAATGATAAATTAAGCTGTGACTTGTGGTCATCTAGTGAAAGAGAAATTATGGAGGATTTTTTACTTTTTCTGTATTGGTTGAAATTGTTACATGGAGTAAGTTTTCCACTTTAAAAGAAAAAATTCCGTTTTGAAAAAATTTAATTAAAAAGGAGGTAGGTAAAGTTTGGGAGACAAAGAAGGTAATAAATAGAACTATAAGGGCAATTGTATTTTGTGTATTAGTGGAATTTATCCCTGGATGATGGCAAAACTTAGGTTAGGATAGGGAAGAAGTCCACAATCACGTAGAACACATACTGGGGAAATCGGCTGCTGTAAGTTGAGGACTAATGGTCTGGAAGAGAGAATGTCGGGTGAGGAGAACAGCTTCCGCTTCCTAACTCTGAAGCACGTTCAACTAATTCTTGCTTTCAGGCATCAGGATTCAAGGACAGTGACTGCCCGTAAGGGAGTCAGGAGAGGATTAAAGATGCAAGGAGCGGAGAAAGAGTGAGAGTGTAAAATGGTTGTTTGTTATGGAAACAGGGTTTCATAACATACTGAGGGCACAAGAAAAGTTATTGTGATGGAGGGAAGCAGGGGAGCCTGGACAGAGGACAGCAGCTTGGTGATGAAAGGGTGAGTGAGCCCGGGTAAGGATAGGTGACAGCAGCTGCCTGTGGTGGATTGGGAAGCTGCAGCCTCCTTTGAGAAAGTTGCTTAAGGCTTGTCAGGATTTGGTGGCCTGGGGTTTTGTTATGGTCTCCTTGAAGGGGAGTCTGGATTGTGGATTCCTGTCCCACGGACTCCTAGGAAGAGGTAACAGACCATGTGTGTTCTGAGGCAGGAGCAGCAAAAGGCCATAGTGGTCAGAGGCTGGATCCTGATCTTTTGTTCGTCTTTTTGAAAACTATCTGAATAGATGGCCCTGATAAGCTTTTTTCCTTCCATCTTGTTCTTAAAATTATCCCATTCTCTGTCATTAATACCACTGACTTGATCCTTCTTGTCCTCAGTGATGTATCCTATTCTCATACTCTTTCTTCCTTCCTTTCTTTCTTCTCTCCTTTCCTCCCTCCCTCCCTTCCTTCCTTCCTTTCTTCCTTCCATTTGTTCTTATTGAAACATAGTTGACATACAGTATTATGTTAGTTTCAGTATACTACATAGTGATTTGACATGTGCAGGTATTATGGAACAGTCATGGCAAGATGTCTAGATACCATCTGTCCTGATACAAAATTATTACAATATTATTGGCCATATTATTCATGTTGGTATTACATCACCATGACTTATTTTATAATTGGATGTTTATACCTCTGCATCTTCACCTGTTTTGTCCTCCCTCCCATACTCTTCCACTTCCTGGTTGTCAGGGAAAAAGACCCTGAAAATTAGCAAGGGAAAGCCAGCAGCTAAGCTCACTGACTCAGTAGACTTAATTTTACACAAAACGTTGAGTGAGTATGAGCAATCTTATATATGAGGGAATGTAGACTTCTCTCACCAAAGGAAAGTGCAGTTTGGCTTTTGGATAGAAGAGGTGTTTCTGCTACCCTGAGCTTTGTGGCTACATCCCAAAAGGTGGAGGTTACTCTTAAGACTAATCACTTGATAAACAGGGTGTTTTTGTATGTTGTAGTATTATATTGCAGTAGAGATTAGTTTGGGAGAAGCCAAATAAATATTTTCTTGAGATTTCTTTTTTTCTTGATTGAAATAGTTGTCTTTTTTCTATTTAGAGAACTGTATTCTTGTAAGATGTCCTCTAAGGTAGTGTTTTCAACTTGATTTTGCATCTTTTATATTATCATGCAGTGTTGCACAGTTTTACCTAGCAATATCCATTAGCATCTCTGTGCTTTGTGCTGTGGTCTGATAAATTATTAAAATCGTACCAAGAAGTTTACAGTCTTGGACTCCACTTCACAGTCAACATGTATAAAGTGTGTATTAATATTAGGTAAATAGCACACGAAAAGTTGCTTGGAATTATTAGTCATTAGGGAAATGCAAATTAAAACCATAACGAGATACCACTATAAACCTATTAGAATGATTGAAATGAACACAGCTAATCATACCAAATGTTGGCAAGATGTGGAGGATCTAGAACTCTCATACTCTGCTGGTAGGAGTTCAGCCAGTTTGGAAAACAGTTTGGGAGTATCTTAAAAAGTTAAATATATAATTACCATATGATCCAGCCATTCCACTCCTAGATATTTTCCTAAGAGAATTAAGAGCATATATCACACAAAGACCTGTACATGAATGCTCATAGCAGCTTTACTGATGATAGCCAACAACCGTAAGCAACCCAAATGTCCATCAGCAGGTGAATAAATAAACAGATTCATGCAATGGACTATTACTCACGAAACAAGAAGTGAAGTATTAATATACACAGTAGCATGGGTGAATCTCAAAATAATTATGTTGAGTGAAAGAAATCAGACGAAATAAGAGTACATGTCGTATGAATTCTAGAAAACGTTAGTTAATCTGTAGTGACAAAAAGCAGATCCAATGGCTACAACTTTTGAGGATGATGCATAAGTTCATTATCTTTATTGTGATGTACAGGTGTGTACTTTCGTCAAAATTTTAAATATGTGCAATTTATTGTGAGTTAATGATGCTTCAGTAAAGCTGTTTATAAAAACGATGTTATATTTGAATTTGGTGTTCTTGGAACTTTTCTTTTTTAATTTCAGGGAGGAAATCCTTCAGCAGTCTTTGTGGGAAAGAGTATCAACTCATGTGATTGAAAACATCTATCTTCCAGCTGCACAGACCATGAATTCAGGGACTTTTAATACTACAGTGGATATCAAACTTAAACAGTGGACCGATAAGCAGCTTCCTAATAAAGCAGTCGAGGTTAGGATATAATTTAATTAAATGGGTAAGAAGCATTATCTGAAGGGAGTAGGAGCTGTGAATTTTAGGTTTTATTCCCATCGCAGCCACTGTCTTTCTTTTTGGTCCTTATGCTCCTTTTATTCTTTTCCTAATATCTGTGCTGGGATTAACCATAATGCTGTTACCAGTTATGACTGGTTAAAAAACAAAATTTACTAATTGGTATGGTGTTGGTCTGAGGGTATTGGTTGTCCTTCCAGAGATAGCATTTAACAAAACCAGCAAAATTTGTTTGAACTTCCTCTGCAGATAGAGATTCCATAAGGAGAATGGCTAATGGATGAAACAATTCATTTGTTGGTTTTTCTGCAGGGCTCAATTTTACTTAAATAATTATTTTCTTAGTTAGGATCCTACCAGGTTAGACTAAGAATTATAAGAAAGTCCCTTAGAGAATGCATGTCTGTTGCCCGTGTATCTTGTTCATAAGTGTATGCTATCGTTGGGCTATTTGCTTAATATGCTTCTTGTTTCCTCATCTATAAAATAGGGACAAAATTGTTGCCTGTGGCACAGATTGTTACAAGGGGTTAACATACGTAAAATACTTTGACAGTACCTGGTCCATAGTAACCACTCAGTGAATGTCAGCTGCTGTTATGATGATGATCATCATCATCCAGGTTGATCTTGCCTCGCACATCACTCTGAAGACTGGTTGTTACAGATAAGAGTCAGTGTGTCCTGTACTTCTGTGTGAGGTTGCTCACAAAATTAGAATCCACGTTAAAAATAATTCTGTTGTTCATACCTACCTTAGAAACAAAATGTCAGTGTCTAATTATTCAGGTGTTTTTCACCCCTTTCCTGTTCTGCTCCCGTCCTTGCTTCTTCACCTCTGATCTCAATTCCCTCAAGCCTCTTTTTCTAAGAACTCTTAACAGCTGTTCTACCTAAGCTGCATGTTGCTGACCCCTGGTCAGTTCTTGACACATTTACCCCTGAAGTAATTAGAGAGCTGCCACCACCATGTCACCAGCACTCCTCACCACTGGCCCTGACATTTTTCTGGGCCCTGTCCCATGATAGCATCATATTTTCACATCCTAAGATTCGAGCAGTGGAAGTGATCGCAAAAATGGCAAGTGACTTTGTCTCCTGCTGCTTTCTCCCTCCCCTAGGTGTGGTAGAAAGACATGAACCTGCTGAGGGTCAGGAAACTAATTTTAATACCTCCCTGTGTTCTTGGACAGTCACCTTTCTTTATGCCATAATTTCTTAATGTTTAAAATGAGGAGGGGTAAATAAAAAACACAGCATTAACTAATCCACTTAATCCTAAGTAGGCTCAGTTCTTAATTGCTTTTGACACTATCAGATAGTTGGGAGTTAGCAGTAATGCAAGGCTGAGTAATACTCAACTATGTTTAAAAGTATTGACACATTACTTCATCTATTTGTATAAAGGCAGAGATGTGAGAGATTAAATCATTAAGAAATTTGCAACTTGTTACAGTGTGGAAGAAGCAGGCAAACTCAGATGTTTGGATGACCTGAGTCTGGCGGCCGCCATGGGCTACGGACCTTCTCGGGAGGGGCAGCTCCTGTTGGGCTCCAGTGGGTGGTGCTGTGCAGGAAAACATGGGCCCAGTGCTGCCAGATAGTTCGGAAACACAGATTTTATAAAAAGTCTCTCAGGTTTTAAATATTGGTTACTAATTTTTAAAAATTTAAGACACTGTGTATGTGTAGCAAAACATGTCAGGAGGCCAAATCTATCCTGCCAGCTACCAATATGAGCCCTTTAGGCCAGAGTTTATATTTGCTACTTTTTTTTAAAAACATGATTTTATATGTGTTTTTTTTAATTGAAGTATAGTCGGTTTCCAGTGTTGTGTTAATTTCTGGTGTACAGCATAGTGATTCAGTTATACATCACATGTGTTTTCTGATACATTGATTTATCACTTCTGATAAACTGATCTGTCACATCTGTTTGGCTTATATTCACATGCTTATTTTTCTTGTTACACATTAAATAAAAGTATGCAGTATAAATACAGTTTTTTTCTTTTTAATAATTCTAGGTTGCTTGGGAGACCCTACAAGAAGAGTTTTCCCGCTTCATGACAGAACCAAAAGGAAAAGAGCATGATGACATATTTGATAAACTTAAAGAGGCTGTTAAGGAAGAAAGTATTAAACGCCACAAGTGGAATGATTTTGCAGAGGACAGCTTGGTATGTCGTTTGTATATTAGGGTGTCAGCCTCATATTTTTATATAATTTCTCAAATTGATATTCCTTTATAGACTTTTTATATGGCTAAATTAGCTTCTGAATTGAAAATAATGAAGGAAAGAAATAGATTTATGAAATGTAATAGGCCCTTTGACATTTCTCTGCCCTTCTAAAATCATCCTCTGCTATTTCTTTCTTGGCTGTTATTTCAAAGAAAAAGTCAGACCTCAAAGTAAACAGTTTTCTATAAACTTCCACAAAATTTACATGGGGCCTAAACTATGGATAGCTGCTTCTCATTTTACCCTCAGTGGTAACAGCGGGAATTAGATGAATTGGTTTTCAGTGGAGTTGAGTCGTAAAATGTTAGAATTCTAAAATCGTAATGCTAACTACCATATGTTGAGTGCTTACGAGGTGCTAGAAACTCTGCTGTGTGTTTTGTAAGCATTATTTTATTTAGTTCTTAAGCAGTTCTGTTACTATTATTGTCAAAGCTGGGATATGAGCCCCACTCTAATTACAAAACCTGGCTCCTGACCTCTATTACCTGATAAATCTTTTGTTATGTAGAATGTTCTCATCACCATAATCAAACCTTATTAAGCACCTGCTCTGCGCAGTTATGAGAGAGCCTGTTGAAAGATAAGATTGAGTAGTTTTCTAGGAAAATGCATATCTCACTATAGGCTGATGGTAATTGTAATTTTTTTGAAGAAATGTTTGTCTTCATATTTGAAAACATTATTCATTCTTGTCAAATGCTTTAAGATTTCTGAGAGAATGGTGCCATTTTCATTCATTTGTTCGAAATTTATAACATTGGGAGACCAATTTTCTAATAATAAATAACTAACATTTACTTATGGTTGTCTAGACCTTTTAAGCTTCCTTCCATTACATTTTTCATTGCTGTTCACAGTCAGATAATGGTTATTGCTTTTTTTTTCCTGTTCTCTTTTTTTGAAAATGCTAACACAGGTCATAACAGCAGAAAGGAACAGTAGAGATGATCTGAATCCATAGCTCCTGAATATCAGGGTTCTAGGGTATAATTTTATGTAGTTAAATATGAAATTCTACAGACACACACACACGCCTGACTGTCTTATAGGTAGTGAATTCATTTAATTTGGGCTAGGAGAAAATCTCCGCTATTTATTTTTTAGACAAAAAGGTGATAAGCAGACAGATAATAAGACCTCCTACATTTGTGTGGGAGGGACATACTTTTATGTTGTTGTAGATACATCTGTTATTTTTGGATATTTGCTAAGCTATCAATTTGAATAAAAATTACTAAAATGATAAGTTAAAATAGAGGTTTTTCTTTCCTTGTTATTTCAGCGGGTTATTCAACACAATGCATTGGAAGACCGGTCCATATCTGATAAACAGCAGTGGGATGCAGCTATTTATTTTATGGAAGAGGCTCTTCAGGCTCGTCTCAAGGATAGTAAGTAGGGACATGGGTTATTGAGTTTTGAGTATTTGCAGTGGAGACAGAGTCATTAACCTTAGTGAACATTGGTTTAAAAAAAAATTACATTTCAGGGTCTTGGTCATAAATATTCTAGTTGAATACTATTTGTGGAATTTTTTAGTCAACTGCTTATAAACTACTCTTAAATATATTGAATTGGACACATGCTATATGTGCTCATATTCTAAAAGCTGTGATTCAGACTATTTTAGTGTTTGCTGCTGTACTTATGGGAACTTTGTAGGCAATTGTATTTTTCATAGATTCTAAACATACATGATTCTTATACATTTACATATCGATCATATAGTTTTTAAAAATTTCAGCTGACTTTGTATTGATACAGCATTTTGAAACAGTTACAAAAGCAAGACAGCATTAGTTATCATTTATGTACTTGGTAAGTGATAAAATTCATGATGAATTAACTTTTAAAAAATTTTTCTAGCTGAAAATGCAATTGAAAATATGGTGGGTCCAGATTGGAAAAAGAGGTGGTTGTACTGGAAGAACCGAACCCAAGAACAGGTAAAAGCAAACAAATTCTTATCATTTTAATTCAGGCATTAAGATACAGCCTTTGCATGCCTTAGACCAAACTTAATTATTTCAGATGCTTTATGTCAGCCTTTCTAAAATATAATAAATCTTTAGAATAAACAGTAAACCACAAAATAAAGTTTGAAACAAATGAGGTAGCTGTGTTATTAAAAGAAAAGGGAGATGAAATATGCCCCTTCGTGGTTGATTGCTTTGTTCATTTCATTGTCCTATTTGAGGTAAAATGAAGGTTAAGGTTTTGAACAAAAGCAAAAAATGACAAGGATTCCAGAAGATGTGGAAAGAATGTGATTAGAATAAAAGTACAATGACTTTTTTATCTTATTCTATTAATATTATCTCTGGATATTTCTGTAGTATATTCAGATTATTTTATTCTTTTGCATTTTTTGCTCCTATGTTCACAAAGTAAGTATAAAAATTCAGACAGAGGTAGAATTATAGAATTCATTCACTTATTTATTAATGTTTATTAACATTTAATGAGCACTTTATAAAAACAAAGTGGTAAAGGCAAGTATTAGTAACTTTACAAATGAGTAAATAGAAGGAAAATGTGTAATCATTAAAATTCCACCCCCTTTTTGTTCTTTCTTTATTGTTACGACTTCTTTTCCCATCTAGCATTGATTCTTACACCAGTAACTCTTTTTTACATTAATTCCTCAAATAGAATAGTGTAAAGAGAGTGTAGAATCAAAATCCCTAAATGAAGGAAGTAATTAAGAAGAGTTAGCATCCAATTCACTGTCCTTCCTTCCCTCCTTGAATCCATTAGAGAAAAGAGACCAAGATACGGAAATACTGAGAGAGAGCAGTTAAAGAGAATGAAAAATTACCAAATTACATATCATTCCTATTTTCTCTTTATTTCTTTTTGTTTTACTTTCATTTTAAATACAGAGTTAATTGTATAACCAACACCCTATTTTTTTTTTCTAGTTTTATGTATTTCTTGTTTCATAAGCTTCTGTCAGAAGTGAGTCCCAGTTTGTCTTAATTTGTGAGGGGACAGCCTTCCTCTTCTCTCTTTTTCTGATATGATTTTTGTGAAAAAATGAGTCATTAAGAGACTGAAGAGAAGCTAAAGAAGTGGGCAGAGGTAGTGGTTGGGTGCTGCCTGTGTGCAGAGTGCATCAGTTATCTCTGCCCTACACATGGGCTGCGAGGAGGCAGTCTTTCAGAAAAAAAATGTTGGAGATCCATCAGATGTTTGTGACTTTGAGACAAGAAGAGGCATTGATTAGAAGGAACTGGTATAGGACAGATAAACTCCCAAGAAAAATGGTGTCTGACTCTTAAGGCTTAGTGAAATTAGGCCTATTAGGTGTAGAACAATCAATGACGGCAGAACTTGCCTCCGCAACTAGTAGTAAATATGCTTAAGCCAGATGCTCTCAGAGAGAAATGATTCCTGGTTGTAAGTTACTTTTCTCAGGAACTTGAACCCATAGGGGATCCCTTCAAGAGAAGCAGGGGAGTTTGTTTTAAGGTCAGTGCAACGATCTGTAGCCTAGACGAGGAACATGGAAGCCCTTCAGAGAAGAGCTGCTCCTCCCAGGGTTTCAGGGCAGCAGGCGTTAGAGCCAGGCTGACTAGAGCAGAGGCGGTGGTTTGGCGTGTGGAGGGAGGGGTTTGCATATGTTTGTTTTGTTTTCTCTTTCAAAACAGTCTCTTGTCAGACTCACTGAATCAAGTTCTCCTTCTCTAACTCTCTAACCCTCCTACTCCCAGTTGAAAACCACTGGTCGTATCTAGAGGATTCTCTGGGGGGCTGAGGCTATCCCTAGGTCTCACATTGCAGGTTTACATAGCTGGCAGTTCCTTTCCTTTTTGAGGTAGCGGGATTTAGCAGGAAAAGAAACTTAAGATTGTCCTGTGTTAAAGATGAGAAATCCATGTTCTGAAAACTGTTTTGTGCTTTTGTATGGTTACTTTTTCCTTTGTTTTCTAAGAAGAAAGTCCTTTCTTTGAACCCTTCTCACCTTGTCTGAGCTGCAGTAATGGACGTCTTGGTCAGGATAGATGGGAGAGTGTTGATCTCCTGAACACCGAGTGCGGTGGGACAGGTGGGAGTGAAACAGGACAGGAAGATTGGGAGACTGTCGCTTTAGAGATTTCCTTCCTCTGTCTGGCCAAATAGCAAATGTTTAAGGAACAGTGACATTTCTCTTCATTAAGTTTCTTATGTCATGTTTTCAGAGAATATTACTTAGTAGTTCTATTTATAAGCCATTTATTTGTGTTTTAAGGGTTTATATAAATACTCAGATTCCATAGCTTGGTAGAGTTTAGGGCGAAGTGCTGTGGTAGTATCTTAATCAGTCATTTCAAAGCTAGTTTCTTTACCATGCGATCTTGAAAGAAGGATGGAAAAATTAAAAGATAAACTTAATTTGACACCGTACAAGAATCTTGCTTTCAAACCTATCACTAATGTGTATATGTTTTCCTCATTTGGTGAAGATATTGTAAATAATCATAGAGACTGGAAGTGAATTAAGAATGATGGGCACCTCACAGAAGTAAAGAATAGTTTTTAATGAAAAAACTTTCTAAAAAAATCAAACTATGAATTTTATATTGAATATATCAAGAAAAGAACATGTCAACAAGTTCTTACAGTCATGGGTTCTTACATAAGAGGCATTTACAGAAAATACCCTCTTTCTGTGTGTGCAGGGTACTTTTTCTTAGATTGAAATCACACCCTAAGTTCAAGAAAGGAAGTGCGTAGTCAGGTGCCTGATGACTTCGACAGTGAAACATCTCAGCAAAAGTAAAATACAACAAAAGAGCTAATCCCCCTCCCCGCTTGGCCCCTCGTGTGTCCATGTTGTTCTGCATTCATCAGCCAGGGTACACTGATTGCTGTGATTGAGCTGTTGTCACCTGTTGTGAAAAAGCAATATATTTATTAAAAATTGAGACTGCTTTTGTAATTGTGCCAAATCGTGAACTATCTAAACACAGTCCTCTTTCAAACATTTTAAAGTGTGTTCACAATGAAACCAAGAATGAGTTGGAGAAGATGTTGAAATGTAATGAGGAGCACCCAGCTTACCTTGCCAGTGATGAGATAACTACAGTCCGGAAGAACCTCGAGTCCCGAGGAGTAGACGTAGATCCAAGCTTGGTAATAATCATTGCTGAGAAGCATGAACGTACTTCCTTCATCTTTGTTTCTTGTAGTAAAATGTCAC